GTATAGCGTAGCGGCTCAGCTTATTCTTTTAGTTTCCGAAATGGTGATTCTGATCTTGTTCTTTCCAGCAACGTTGGCAGAAACGTTGAGGCCATTCCCGAGTAGGAAAATGCAATGCTTGTGCGCTTAACTTCGCGCGCGGCGTGGCATGGTTCTCGGACACTCTTAGGCGCTTTGATGTACTATGTGCGAACGAACTGGCCATTCGGATCATTTCGATCATCCACCCATCTGATCGAGGCGGGGCCGGGACGATGGGCAGGACATATAGCGACGTGGCGCGTGCGTCTTGGATGTCAGTGCATTGAGGGACATAGATGGCATCATCGATTTTGCCTAACGCTTGGTCTTGACTAGTAGGTGGACTTCCGCTCCGCGACTGCATGCTCGAGCCCCAGCGGGCTTATCGTAGTAGTGTGTATCTTGGCGCCAACGTGAGGGCTGGGCATGCTGTACATGACTCCATGATGATAGCGAAGCATGCGAGAGAGAGACGAACAGCTCATGTGTTGGTGCTTTGGATGTAGTATGGGGCTATATTTCTCTGATTGTTGCCATCCTCAATCGGTGCTGGTTGCATCTAGAGCTGGTTTGCCTCATGTGTCGGTCCCCTTCCTCTGGGCTTACCTACCCTGGAGGACCCTCGAGCAGGCTATCTCTCCTTGCACGTCGCAAGTGCAGTTGGTAAATGCTTAGACCATAAGACTATGAGCCCGGTATACTGATCGTTGTGAGGTCGAGACACCAAAGAGATACTCACTTGCCAACAGACAAACTGTCTCGAGGAACAATCGCATACACTCTCCATTGTTCATCGCTCTGCGTTGTGCTATGCCTAAGGCAATCGCGGTAAATCAGCAGTTCCAGTGTCCAGAACGCATGCTACCCGGAACGAGAAAGCTTTCTTGCTGCTCATAAGGGATACACTTCTCCGGTGAGTAGGCTTTCATTCTCAACGGCTTGTAACATATTGCCTGCTATTTGCCCCCGAGTCAGAGCTAGCGACCCGGGATACATCGAACTCATGCTCATGCGCGCCCTCGTCCTGGTTACAAAAGATGAGATGCGAGTATTTCTTCGGGAGAGACCGAATCGGCCTATTGGTTGTTCTTGCAGTGTCTCTCTCTCTCTCTCCCTCTCTCCTGGGCATAGCTAACAGCAGTGGTGGCCTTTCGAGATATATGTTTAAGCGCGGAAGAATATGTGAGAAGAGATAGACACTCCTGGATGGCCATTCACAACCAACTGCACATTTAGCAGGCCCAGCAAGACATCAAAGCCTGGTGACAACGAAGCGTGGACTGAGGAACTGTGAGATTCTCTCCGCATTCTCAGAGCTGGATTGATCTTCGATCTTCGATCTTCTAGTTCTGGTCGGCGGAGAATACCACATTTCCAGAAGACCGGATGAACCTCTGGAATTCGCAGAAGCGGGGTTTCAAGGTTGTTCCGTTGCGTCGCGCTGAGTGGCAAGACGATGAGATGTCCTCATCTATACCCAAGAAACGGATACTGCTGAGGTGCTGATGCTGTACTATACCCTCAATTTGTACGAACTCATTGAAGGGCAGATGATGACAGCACATATAGGCCATCTGTGCTGTCGTTAGCGACGTACCCCGAACCGAAGTCGATTTCGCTCTTTTCAGCCTGGTGCAGCTTCCAGTGCCATGCCATGTCGACTGTACCCGAGTAGGCCCATAGGGCTCACAGCAGCTCAGCTCCTTTGATAGCCACTGTCGCGGGAAGGGGCATTGTGGGCTCTCGATGTTTGATCTCTTATCTCTTTTCTTATTGTTCTTCGCGGTGCGGTTCAAAGGGCAATGAAGTGCACTGTTTGATGCCACCTACGCGGACCGAAATAATTTATGAAGCACTGAAGAAAAGACCCCGAAGACCCTAGTGGGGAAGCTAAACATATGATCTGTTTGAGATCCTGTGCGATCATCCCTTTCTACATTGTGCTGTACCCCCAACCACGATTGCAATGCTCTTGTATGGCATATGACACGATAAACTTGTTGCAGCACTCAACACAAAAGACAGACTCTTGCGGGCCGAGTGAAGCAAGCCATGGCAACCTTTTCAGGTAATGTGAGGCCGAGAGTTTCCATGTCGACTGAGCTCGTTCGGCAGGTAACACCATACCTCAGAGTACCTTTAGTGTTTGTTATTGTAACATGCTGCCCGACAAATACCCTGAGCAATGAAAATGACGGTGAAGGTCAGAGTGAGAGGCCTGCCTACAGACAACGGCGAATTATGACCAAAAAACCTGTCTCGGTATTGTTTGTAGGTGGAAAGTGGTAGAACGGGATCCAGAATGCTATATGTTCATGTAGTCCGTTCATGTAGTATGTTCAGAACGATTCTGATGAGCTAGGGGCAGATAGGTCAAGAGCCTAGGCAATGCTCGGAGGGAATTGAGGACTAAAAGAAGCGATCGATATGTTGTGTAGGAATGAGCACATGCAGAGAGCCTGAGCATGTTCCAGTTCCCAGGCACTAGCAAAAGGAGGGCAGCAATCACGATGCGGTAGTGCTTAGCTCTGCGGATAAAGCAGCCGCTCGGGCCCGCTACTAGGTAGGCAAGCGCATCCCGGGTAATACCAGGATAGCCCTGAGGACGTAGCTATACTCTGTCGATTCTTAAATCTCCGGCCAGTATCTGGATCCTTGGTAGTATCCTCTGCTTTGAAGAACGATACGTTACTGATGTTATCGATAGTTCAGCTAGCCAATTATCAGGGATGAACCTGTATGGCTTATTGATCATTCTGCAAACATGCTACTGTCTTATAGTAGATGGAAGAACATCATATCAAGGGTTCGGTCTCAACAGTCATCTTCCATTTCTCCTCCGGTTGACATTGACAATTACCAAGATCCGTGCGCATTCGCAGGCTCGTGAGAAACGCGAAGAATTGCTTAGCTGTTCCAAGCAAAATTGTACTCCGCTTCCTTCCCATCCAGATTTGTTGACTTCTCATGCCGTTATAGTTGGAAGGTGATGTGGTCTGATACACCCCTTATAGTGTCAATGTCCTCATAATCCTGTATCCAAGCCTGTGTCTGTTTCATGCCCTCTTCAATGACGCTGAGGTCTTCCTCGAAGAGGGCGATGGCCGAAACCTTGTCTTCATCTCGAATGATCATGCACGCAGGCGTCCCGAATCGGCAAAGGCACTATTCTTGGACCGCCCAGTCGCTGATTTGACGCTGTGAACGGCCTTATCACCGACATGAATCGACTGCAGCCATCTGAAACGGGTGGAGGAGAGGTCAGCTCTGCGTCGGGCGTCAGCTTCTGTCGACCCAACGCAGAGGAACGAAAACGCCTGCAGGAGGACATACGGGAATGAGATTGGCTGATAGAGTCAACAGACAGCCCACTGTATGCCTGATCGGGTTTAGCTCGTACCGGGGAAATGCCGCAGTCGGTTAATCAAGAATCTCATTTGTCGAATTCCTTCCCCCCTCTTCCGGTGTTACATTCTGACAACCTGAACCACCGACTTATCTGGCAGTGTGCAGTAGTGACAGCGCTGTACACGGGCAGCAGGCCAGAGTGACAGCGCCCCGGGCGCACACGGCAATATGCTGCAGCATGTCAAAAAAACGAAGGACTGCAAAGATAGGGGATACCCGAAGAAATTCAATAAGTAGTAGGTCAGCAGTGGAAGGATGTGAATTGAAGAAGTACTGTACAGTACATCATGCATGAAATTTAGGGTTCTAGCTGAGGCGATGACCTATTGCTCAGCTTCCGTGAACAGCACCCCCAAGACTAGTAGGATGCACACGGCAAGCAAAGCTCCGGACAGGGCAAGAGGCCGAACCCGACTGTCTGGGTCCAGGTTCCTGCGCCGGCTTGAGTGCTGATCGCCTCCTGATCCGTGACGCGACTAAAACCTATCGATTCTGGCGCTAGTAACATCTCGGGTCTGGGCGTGCAGCCAGCGGGTTCGGCCGGGTGCAGAATAGTGAGGTCGAGGGGAGGTAATTGGTAACGGAAGGTAACTTTTTGGTTCCGGCCAACCCTCTAAACCTCACGCTGCACCGGTATTCTTCTGGTATTCTTCTGGTAATCTTCTGGTATTCCTCTGGTATTCCTCGGGTATCCTCCACGCCCCGTTCATCCCTAGAATACCCAGCTAAAACATTAGCGGGCAGTCCGTGGGTGTTCTAGCAATATTACAGCTCCGTAATCCGGGATGCCCCTAACCAACAGAAGCTGAAGCCTGACGCCCACAGACCCGTGGGATCCTCAGGAGCCCCGACGTATGGATCACAAGCAAATACCTTATTCTTTCCATCAGACAAGTATCAGATTATGAATTGATTAGCAACTCACTAGACTATCTAGGACCAACATCCCAAACAGCTGTGTTTCTGAAGGGAAAAAAAGGTAGGGAATGACGAGCATGAAGCAAAGAGAGTAAAAGAGATGAGCTCATACTCCGTGCAGTTCTGGAACTCCAAAAAAGCTGCCCGTGACTCCGCCCACACTGCCCACTGACTGCTGCTGCTGCTGCTGCTCTCTGCTCTCTCTTCTCTTCTCTTCCTAACTTTCTCTTCTCTCTCCCCGCTACTCCAAAAATTAACTACCTTTAGTCTTCTTTTCTCCCTCTCCTTACTCCCTCTCCAATCTACCAATCTACCTCCTTCTTTGCTTTTTCTTTTGGTCTTTTCCCCCTCATCGTCAGCCAGTTTCCTCACCACGCGCATTGCGCTCGTATGCAACCCCGCCTTTTTCAGCTTCACCCTCCTCCGCTTGGCTGAACCCGCGCTATTGCAGACAAGCCACGAGCTCACCTCCCACCCCCCCTCCCCCCCTCTCCCCCCTCTGTCTCACTTCATGGATCGTATTCCTCCGCCACCCCTCGCCATGGATCGAATTCCGCCCTCTTCCTCCTACCCCACGCCTGGGTCCGCCGGCCCAGTGCCCCCCGCCATGGCCTCCGCAGCCCATCTCTCTCCGCTCACCACCGTTCACGAGGGTCGCATTTGGGCCCTACAAGTGGTACAGCAGCCGATTCGCGCCCGCATGTGTGGCTTCGGTGACAAGGTCAGTCTTGTCGATACCCGCAAGCGCCTTCGGACTAGCGCATGGATCTGAATTTTTCGTTTGTCGCATTGTGCTCGAACTCTTCTTCAGGCGTTGGAAAGGACTGGAGATCTTGGATCCATGCGACTCGGATATTGGTCCGGATGCAGTTCCGTCGGCAAGAGAATCGCTAGGCAGAGGCATGGAGTCCGATTGGGTTGTCGCCAAACCTGCATGGCTCGGATGGTTCGTGAAGCTCGGGGACGCTGAGTCGCGAACGCATTGAAAAGAAAATCAGGACTTGTCTGCAATTGGCTGCTTCTGATTGCTAGCGCTCTTTTGATGAGACTCGAAGTCGCATGGATCTGAGTCTTGGGTTTGGCCTGTTCTTGGATGAAGAGAATTCGGCACGTGACAGACGTTCTTAACCCAGAGCCAGGCGCTGTGTTTATGTCAAATCGTCTTTACCTTTGCTGACCATCATCAGGATCGACGACCCATCACGCCTCCTCCATGCATCCGTCTAATTGTCCGGGACGCTCAAACTGAAAAGGAAATCGATATCAAGTAAGTCGACGCCCCGGGTTCGCCAATGGTGATGCGACAAACACTGATCAAATTGAACTAGTGAGATTGATACCTCCTTTTATGTACTCATGGTCGATCTGTGGAATGCCGAGGGGACGAGCGAGGTCAACTTGGTGAAGCACTCGGCCACCTCTCCGTCGATATCTACCGCCATGTCCTCGTCATACCCGCCCCCGTTGCAGAACGTCTCACCCTCGTACCCTCCGTACGCGCAAAATGCCTATGGTCAGCCTGTCGGTTACCCGCACATGAATAACTACTACGCCGGAAACCCGCAACTTCAATACCAGAACCCCTATGGAGCGAATCCGCAAGCCCAACCTTACTACCCCTACTACGCCGGGGGTCACATGCCACCCGCCAACATCTCCCCAGCGCAGCCGGTTACCGCCGCTCCAGGTGCTGGCATGTTCACGCGAAATCTCATCGGCAGTTTGAGCGCCAGTGCATTCCGACTGACGGATCCGGAGAACAAGATCGGTGTCTGGTTCATTCTGCAGGACCTGAGTGTACGGACAGAGGGTTCCTTCCGGTGCGTGTTTTGAACAGTAAACTCCCCTGCTGTGCTACTGCTTAGCTGACTTTTCCTCTGCAGCCTGAAAATGAGCTTCATCAACGTGGGCACCCAGTCCGGGGAATCTCCCAATGGCGTGTCAGTGATCAACCACGGGGCAGCGCCCGTTCTGGCATCCGTATTTTCCGACCCCTTCCATGTATACTCCGCCAAGAAGTTCCCCGGTGTCATCGAAAGCACGTCCCTCAGCAAATGCTTCGCGCTCCAAGGCATCAAGATCCCGATCCGAAAGGACGGCGTCAAGGGATCGCGCGGGCGGCACAGTGACAACGATGACGGTGGAGACGATTATGACTAGAAAGCCGATGATGCGCTTGTCTGGTCTGTGAGATTCGCCTTTTCCTTGATTTACTTCTTTTTGCTGTTTGCCTAATACCTCCTCTGGCGCAAAGTTTTATGGGTTCTGGTAATATGACCTGGGTTCCTGGGAATGCGGTGTTTCTCTAAAGGGACTGGTTCCGGGGTTGGGAAAGGGGTTTGTTTTCATCAAACGGATTGGGTGTATTGGTATCGGTATCGGGACCGGTGTCGTGGGCTTTTCTATTTGTGCCATTAGTTTTCTACTTGGTTTTATCCTTTGCTCTATATCTCTTCCAGTCCTTACTTGTGCTACTCGGTGGTCTCTTTTTCTCTTTGCCTTATTAATTTTACCCTCAATGCTTCCGAGTCTGTGTTGCTGCCCCTCTGTGCGAATACTGCTATGCTTTCCTTACCTGCGTGTCCCCCCGTGTATAACTTGGGTAGAAGACAGTCAGTCGAATGTCTAAACTGGATCAACTCTTCATCTTCAACAACCTCGTTTTCTAATATGTTTGTGCCCAAAGGCAAGGGGCGGGGGATGAGTCTAATTCTGACATTTGTGGGTGAGCATCATGGTGCATGCACGTCAAGCACTGCATCTCATTCTCATAATTCATAATTCTCATGTACTGTAGCTGTACTGTACTGTACCTTCTCTCTTCGCCTCTTCAGAAGCTCTCATGAAACCCACTGCAAGTAACAACCTTCTTTGACTTGTCTCTTGAAGCTTCAAGTTCTGGAGTTCCTTTCGCAGCTAGCGGAAGATAGCGAATCGCATTTCCTTACTACCCTTGGCTCTTGGCTCTATGTTGGTGTTTCACTTGATCCTGTTGGCGTACAGTACTTTAACGTTTGTCCTTTACCAGACTGAATAGGAATACTCTGAGTTGAGGGGAAGCATAGGCAGGACCAACGACTTCGTGTACGTAGATGGGTCTAGTAGGGTTATGCTGACTGTATGTACTGTACGTCTCAGCTGCGTTGGACACAATGACCCGCGCGCCATCGTGCAACAAGAGTAAGCACGTGGGGTCAACCCCCGGGGCTGGCCTGTATCAGCCATGTCTCAGGGTCGAGGTTATAGTACCGGTACGCAGGGTCAGCTTATCCAATAACCGACATGTGTTTACGTTACGACCAACGATAGCTCAAAGCACGTAGCACATACTGTCTCCAGGGTGAAAAACAGGGTATCTGGTTCTATATACTTTGTTCATCGAGATCAAAACACAAACAAAAAGCTTTTTTCCTCTCCGACATTAGTTGCGCCATATCCGTACGGCCTTGTCCTTGCCGCCACTTCCCACCTTCTGTCCGTCGGGACTCCAGTCCACCGCGAACACTTCATCCTTGTGTCCCGGCAGGTCCTCGGAGAGCTTGCCCGTGCGGACGTTCCACACCTTCAGGGTCGTGTCTTTCGACGAGGAGACGAGCATGCGGGAGTCGGCGGAGAAACAGCATTGGTAGACGGCTCCGACGTGGCCGCGGAGAGTGGTGATGAACCTATGAGGTGGTATTCGTTAGTGTCGAGGCTCCAGGACCCAATAAGAACGGAAGGTTGCACTCACTTTCCATCCCGGGCATTCCAGAGCTTGACGTGGTTGTCGAATCCCGCCGAGGCGATGTACGCCATATCCGGCGAGAATGTGACATGGTTGACCTCCTTCTGGTGACCGAGCAGTCGCGCGACGGGCTTGCTGGAGTTCTCCGGCTCCCAGAGATACATGGTGAAGTCGTCGCTGGCCGAGACGAGCTTCTCGACGATCTTGTTGTTGATAGTGGCGGCGTGCTCGTACCGCTGCTTCGCGGCGGCGACCTTCTCGGCGTCGGCCTGCGGGACTTGGCCCGTGTGGTCGTGGTAGGCGGTCCGGAGGACGAAGTCCGTGGACAGCGCCAGGTGGTTCACCCGGTGGGCGTGGGCGGACAGGGTCTGGATCAGGGTGCCGTTCTCCGCGTTCCACACCTTGACCGTCTTGTCATGCGAGGCCGTGTAGATCTTGCCCGTGCCGCCCCACTTGACGCAGGTGACCGAGCCCTTGTGGCCGGTGAGAACCATATCGATGCGCTTGCTGACCACGTCCCAGACGCGGACCGTCGAGTCCTTGGAGGCGGACGCCAGGCGCGGCCGCCCCGGCTGCTGTAGGTGATAGGGCTCCCACGCCAGGCTGGTGATCCACTTCGCATGGCCCTTCAACGGCGCCCCGAGCGCTGTGCCCTTTTTCGCGTCCCACACCCGCACCGTGTTGTCCATGCTGCCGGTCGCGATCATCGCGCCGTTGGGGGAGTAGCTGACCGCCAGCACCCAGCTAGTGTGACCCTTCAAGGTATGCAGGGGGGTTCCGGTGTCGCAGTCCCAGATTCGGGCCGTTGAGTCACCGCTGCCGGTGACCATGGTGGACGAATTGACGGGGGAGAAGGAGGTGGCCAGAATCGCTTCCCCGTGTCCGGCGATGGAAGCAGAGCATCGCGAGACCGCCTTGACTCGGAAAACCGCCTGCGGCGTGTAGTAGAGGTGAACGGTATCTTCGGTGGTCTTGAGGCCCGGCTTGAGCAGCGAGTGGTACAGATGTGTTAGAATGTCGATCGTCTGATTGTCCTTATCGTCCGACTGGTAGGTAAACCGGTATGGCACCCGCTCATCATCTTCCTGGGTTTTTTTGCGAAGGAGCGGAAATTAGTATATCTGGTATGAGGTCACCATCTTCGCATGTGTGTCGCGTACCTACATTGCCTTGTAGGGTATTGAGTAGCGTCTCCAAGTTCTTTACGTTGGCATCGGCCACTGGGACGGACACTGCTGGTCCGGTTGGCGCTCCTGTCGCTTGGTCGAAAAACTGCACTCGGACACTGCCCAGATTCTCCGGGATGCTCTCGATCTCTTGCTGAAGACGGGCCTTCTCGGCAATCTCCGTCTTCTGACGCTTGGTAGGAGGAGGCAGAAGAGTCGCCATTGTGAGAGTGATCTGGGGGGTTTGTTGTGTGAAGGTCTTCTAGCCTTTTAGAAAAAAAAATCGATAAAGAATCCCGGGCGGACTGACTTATCGCTGCCGTGGGGGAAGATCGGCACTATCCCGCTTTCGGACATCGGAGCATCCCCCATGCTTGTGAAGTGTATGATTGCATTTAAATGACCTTCATCCTTCATTCAAGTCCTCGTATCTGGAGACCAGCAATGTTCACTCGGTCCGACTCACTAAGTTACCACATCTCCATAATCCCACCCCACTATGGATGACTCAACCCAATCGATTCGGGAGCACATTATTCGCCAGATTCGAGAGGTCCTTTCTCAGTTTCTGCCGAGTGTCGGCTCAGATACCATGCGAATACTTGGTGTCACTCCAAATAGTATTCTTGAGCCCAGAAATTACTTAGAATCCATACGTCCATTTGTCTCAGAGATTGAAGAGTACCTTCAGAAGAATCGCCCGGATATCGAGACTCGTTTTGTTGCTGCTAAAATCTTCCGCGGGAAGACCTCCTATTTTATACTCGACCTCAATAATGCTGATTATAACTATGAAACTGCTCATGATTGCAAGAGATTAATCCCTGTTTACGTTCTTCGTCTATCGAAAAGACAGGCTACAATTATTCGAGAACCGGAGCTGGATGGGACGGTCGCTAAGGTTCTTAGGAACATGCACAATCTCCATGGCCAGGACCCTCTACCTTTATTTGACAACCATTATGATGAGAATCTTCAATACCCCAACCCCCGCCGCCCGCAATTTGAGTACTGAATTGGTTTCGCGACTGTCTTTGGGAGGTCAGAACGGTCCTATGTGGCCAGAGAACGGCATCATCAAGAGGCCATATCACATCAAGTAGGTCTGAGCTCCTATGGAAAACATACATAGTATATTACTCAGTATTCTTAGTAACATGAGCAGAGGAAGCCTCCCTCAGCACCTTTGTAAGTAAGTCAGTAAGGCCTTATAAAGCATCTCTCCTTACAACTTATAGAGGTGCGTACTTATTATCGATGATCTATAAATCCTAATCAACAGCAAGAGTTTTCTGGAGTAAAAATGAGGGTTTTGCATGTAAGCTGTATATAAAATCAGCGGCCATGCCGGAAGTGCGTGGCTCTCTTCAACAAGAGATAGTTTCACTCACTAATAGGGGTGTTGATCAGACAGAGTCCTTAAGATTGGGGGTGGAAAAGGGAGTGCACTGGGAGCGCGCCGGGATCAATCACGTGTAGCTCTTACCAATTGGGCAAGACTTCTACCTCACTGCACCTGGAAAGAACTTGCGCACAGAGACTGCATACTCTCCAGGCAAACACTATGGCCTCCATCTACTCCAGGGCCTCCTCGGTGGGCGCTTCAGATTCATTCGTCGCCCTCACCCGAGCAAGTAGTTCACGGCCCCGAACAGCAACACGACCGACAACCTCGGCGACGAGCGTCGCATCCCAAGATATTGTCTGTGCAGTCAGCGAGTCTCGCGGCGTCTCAGCTACGGTTGGCTTGGCCTTCGTCAATCTCTCTACTGCAGAGGCGGTTCTATGTCAGATTTGCGACAATCAGACCTATGTCAAGACCGTCACGAAGATTGGCGTGTATGAGCCCACGGAGATTCTCCTAATGAATAGTGCACAGGAATCCAAACTCGCCTATATACTTAAGGAGAACATCCCAGACACAACGTTCACCTCAGTGGACCGGAAGTTCTGGTCCGAAACAATGGGCCACGAATACGTGAAGAGACTGGCTTTCTCAGAAGATGCCGAATCCATCAGGATGGTCCTGGAGGGGAACTATTTTGCCTCTTGCTGTTTTGCTGCCGTATGTGCTCACAGGAGGGTCGGGGATGAGCGAAACAGCCATTGATCCTTGACAGGTTCTGAAATACGTCGAGGTAGAAATCAACAAGGCTTTCACCTGCCATTCTCTGCGAATCAAATACGAGCCATCTCAGGGTGCAATGTCGATTGACTTATCTACTATTGTATCTTTGGAGCTCACTCAGAACTTACAGGTTGCGAGGTCAAAGGATAGCCTTTTCGGACTACTCAACGAGACACTGACTCCCATGGGCACACGGCTGCTCAGGGCGAATATTCTGCAGCCTTCTACCGATGGATCGCAGCTACTGGCCCGCTACGACGCAGTCGAGGACCTGACCACCAAAGAGGACATGTTTGTTTCCATCAGACAGGGTTAGTGATTGGCTGCTTAAGCTCTCTTCTGCGCTGACATAGCCGTGGATAAAGCCCTCAAGGGTTACCTTGACGTCGACAAGGCTTTGACTTCAGTGAGTGGAGTTCGAGCCGAACTTACATGCAAGAATTAACCGCCTAGCTTATCCTTGTCCCTACCAAACGAGCAATCGGATACGTCGAGCAATCTGTAAACAATGTCATCATGGTCAAAACATATGTCTCATCCATCAAGTCGATATACAAGACACTTGCTCCGGCTCAGAGTAATCTGCTCCTCAACATCAGAGAGGTAGAGTCTAGACGGCTTCATGAGATTTCAGGCTAATCACAGTCTCTAGCTATGCGCCCCGGAAGGTCATCAAGCACTGGAGCAGCTGATCGACGAAACTCTGAACGAAGAAGTCACCTACCAGACGAAGCCACTCGACCTCAGGAATCAGAGGATATACTGCGTCAGGGTAACGACCTTTCCCGTGCTCCACTATTTGAGCTGACCACTTCGATCTCCAATCCGGATCCCAGGCTGGGGTCAATAGCTTGCTTGATGTCGCAAGGCAGGCTTATAAAGAGGCCAATACAGACGCTACGGAATTGGTCACTGCTCTAGCGGGCAAGTGCCATCCTCAAACTATCTTGCGTCTAGTATCTCTCTAACGCCTGTAGAATGCCATGACCTTGCTCTCGATCTGAAGTATGATAGAGCCCGCCAATACTACATCAGCATTCCAACCACAGAGACTCATACACTACCCGAGGTCTTCATTAATGTCTACCGCAAGAAGAACCGCGTCGAATGCCAGACGCTCGATCTCGTCAAGCTGAACCACAAGATTCGAGACGCGCACAACGAAGTGATTAGCATGAGCGACGAGACGGTCCAGGATCTGATCACGAGCATCTGCTCCGAGGTATCGAGTCTGTTCAAGATCAGCGAGGCCATCGCCATTCTCGACATGCTAGCCTCTTTCGCACAGTTAGCCACGAGCCACGAGTACATCCGCCCGGAGATCACCAACGTGCTCGCCATCAAAGCCGGCCGCCACCCGATCCGCGAGAAGATCCACGCGAAGAAATTCATCCCGAACGACGTGTACGCCACGCCGCAGACGCGGTTCAACGTCATCACGGGCTGCAACATGAGCGGCAAGTCGACCTACATCCGGTCGATCGCCCTGATGACCGTGATGGCCCAGATCGGCTGCTTCGTGCCGGCGGAGTATGCCTCGTTCCCCATCATCCACCAGCTGTTCGCGCGGGTCGCCACCGCGGACGAGGTCGAGGCCAACGTCTCCACCTTCGCCGCCGAGATGCGCGAGATGGCGTTCATCCTGCGCAACGTCCAGCCCGAGCAGCCGAGCATGGTGATCGTCGACGAGCTCGGCCGCGGCACCAGCACCGCCGACGGCCTGGCCATCGCCATCGCCATCGCCGAGGCGCTGGTCGAGAGCCACGCCCTGGTCTGGTTCGTGACGCACTTCCGCGATCTGGCGGTCATCCTGGGCGAGCGCAGCGGCGTCGCCAGCCTCCATCTGGCCGCCGAGATCAGCCCCGACGCGTCCAAGATGACCATGCTCTACAGGGTCGCCGAGGGACCCGACACCACCCGCTTCTACGGCCTGGCCTTAGCCAAGCTGGTCGACCTCCCGCCGGGTGTCCTCGAAACGGCGCAGGAGGTCGCTGAGAGCTTGGACCGCATGGCCAGGCGTCGGCACGCGAAGACCCGCGCATTGGCCGTCACCTGCAGGCGCAATCTGATCCTTTCGCTCAGGGAACAGTTGCTGTTGGCGCGGGATGGGACCCTGGGTAACAAGGCTCTTTGGCGGTGGCTGAAGCGTCTCCAGGATGAGTTTCTCCTGCGCATGGCCGCGATTGACGGGGATGTGGCGAAGGTTAGTGGTGATGATGGCGCTGAAGAACATGCTGAAGACGACGCTGACGATTATGGTATCAATGATACTGAAGACGACGATACTGGCGACGTTGAAGATGACGATAGCGAAGATGATAAAGGTGAGAGTCCCGAAAACTCGATGGATCCGGAAGCGCCTGAGGATCGCCTGAGCTGGTCGGGATAATGCGTTCGCGTTGACCCTGCCGGCAGAACTATAGCACAAAATCGGTAGGTTTAGCATTGTAGACCTACCGTGCCTGCTGCCCAGTCTAATATAGGTTGAAGTATGTCCAGGGTGAAGAGGAATAGCAGCATATATGTACAGTACCCGGTAGCACCTCCTAGTAGTATCCAGGCATTGAGCCACTGCGATTGCGCTCTCAGGGCGGATTCACAGAATATCTACATCTGTCCGGTGCCTGGTAGTATTACTTCGATCTTTCTAGTCGCCTGCCTAGCAAGGCCCCAGCTCATCGTTCTCTCGCAACCACATGGCCACTATAGACAGACCTTCACGAAGAGAAAGACAGTCTCTTTGGCCTCCAGTATTGATCAGCCTCCTATCTCAATCAGATGACTATATTTACTTGTGTTACGGGAAAGCAAAATATACAATATGAAAACTCTACTTTTTTTTGTATCCTTAAACAAGTCCCCGAGCCAACTCTGAGTGAAACAACACGCTTAATAACAGGCTCAAACATGACAAAAGACTTCTTCGGAAGATGGAGGTACAGAGCTCGTGGGTGTGTGGGTGTAAATCGTCTATGTAGATAGATACATACTGAGTGTATCAGATATGCGGAGAAAGACGGAAATTTCCCTAAATTATCCGAAATGGAACAAGGTCTGTTTTCCTTTCTTGCCTTTGCCCTTCTTGCCCCCGACAGCAGGGAAATCCTCGTCCTCCGCGGTGGAGTTGGCGCCGGAATCGTTCCGGGACGAGGAGCTCCAGGCGTTCACCTGCGGTGCACGGTTGTCCCAGCGGACAGTGCCGCGGGTGAGACCTGCCATGAGGACGTTGGGTTTGGGTGCGGCGGGGAGGGCTGGGAAAGCGTCGGCGCTGCTGGTTTGGGCCGGCCGGGAGGTGGCGGGAGTGCCGGAGCGAGTGGAGTAGGTGCGGGGGGTGATGGAGGGCGAGGGGGCGGCGGAAGTGGGTGCTGCTGCTGAGCTTGCCCACGGGGTGGATGAAGCTGGCGTGGATCGCGGGGCAGAGCGAGCCGTCGCAGAGGAAAGGGGAGGGAAAGCACTGGCCGAAGAGGACCCGGAGGGCATGGCACCACTTCTACCGACGGCGGATCGGGAGGACTGCGCAGTGGAGGATTTGAGACGCAGGACACGCTTTCCTCCCACGCCGCTGCCATTGACGGTTCCTGGCGACATGCCGGGGATAGTCCCGCCAGGGCCGGGGAGGGCAGGATAGTCTTCGTTGATCGCACGCCAGTCGTTCCAGGATTTCAGCAATGCATTGCGCTTGTTGTCGTCTTCGTAGATCTCGGCGAGCTCTTTGATCAGTTTACCGAGCTCGGTGCTGGAAGTGTCAAAGAGGGAGAAGAAAGCGTCGATTAGCTCGGTGGCCGAGATGGAGGAAGTGCGATAGCTGGAAACTCGGGTGCGGAATTCGTTGAGTTTGTTCCTATCATTGCCGAGCAGATTCGAGGCGCGTTCTACGACGGCAGCATGGCGCAGGCGGCGTGCTTGTTCCTGAGGGGAGACGGGGCCCGCATCTGCGTTCAGATTGAGGTCGCTCATTTCAGCAACGGGTGTGGATGCGGCCGGAGGCGTCTGCACAGGCGTGGCAGCCGCGGATCGAGCGGGAGCGCGCACAGGTTGAGTGTCGCTGCGGGTGAGCTGGCCGCCGAAACTCCGGGTGGAAACAGACTGTGCACTTTGAATGGCCATCTGTCGTTGATAGGCAATCTCGTCTCGTCTCAGGGGCTGTGCGCTCGAGACGGGCAGAGGCTCTGAGTTGGGATCCCGTCCACGACCTGCACCACGGCGTTGTCGTTGAGGCTGGTACGGAGCTCTGTAGTCAAATGTAGAGAGGTCGACGGTACGTGCGTCGCGTCTTGCATCCTTCGAGAGCCCGTTGGGGTGGTTTTCCAGCTGGTGCGCTTTGAGATCCATCTGAGATTCGAAGACCACGAATTTCTTCTCTAAGCACTCCTGATCCAAGCAGAGGAAATGATCTTTTTGGAAATGGTCCTCTAGCGCGTTGTAGTCAATGTAGTACTGTTGTTGGCGGTTACTTGATTGTCGATCGCAGATGTGGCACCGCTCATGACGGTCACGACAGTGAGCGTAAAGTTCGTCATCGCCGTAGAAACGCTGCCGACAGAAACCACACTCTGGGTGTCCTTTGAATCCACTTTGGTCAATCGCACCAGGAACATCGTCTCCATGTCTCTCGTGTCGCCGCAATTCCTGGTTAGTGAAAAGCTCATGCTCGTGGGTAAAGACCTTCTTGTTCCGTGTGCAAAGATCGCTAGAGGTAGAGAATATCTGTAAGTAAATGCACAAATGCTCACTCAAGAGCGAAGATACTCACCACATCACCCTGCCATGCTTGGTCTTAACATGGCGATGCAGGTCAGGCCATCCCAAACAAGCGACATCACAGCTCCTTTCGGGACAGTTGTATCGCAATAATAACACAGTGTCCTCGAAGATCTCACCACTCTCATACTTGATTCCAAGGTTGTCATCCTTTTGGGAGAAATCGGCTTCTGTGAAGTCCTCAAAGCGCTTAGCATGGTCATCTGTGAAGATCACAAAGCTGGATTCCGTCTGTCGCAGCACACAATTATTAGCACCTAGCCAATTAACGGCATGGGGGGGGCAAAGCAGAAGCACATACCCGACAGTGTGCACAAGCTTTGTTCTTATACAACGCTCTCAACCGCAACGCGCAAATATGACAGGTCCGGTGGTTGCAAGGTGAGACGGAGGTATGCTCAACCTTCGAGGCACAGATGAAGCAGACCTCCCCATCGTCTGCGTCATCGGAATCCTCTGCGACCGCCTGCTTTCCTCTACTCTCAGTTGTGGTTGTGGGTTTGGCATCAGTCGTGTTCGCGGCGGACTTCTGTTTGTCGCGACCTCCCCCGCCGCCGCCGCCGCCGCGGCGGGGTCCATGACCTCTGGATCTTGACCCTTTTCCTGGACCGTCGGTTGTTTGTTGCGAGGCTTCCGCCTGTCCAGGTTGGCGAGCAGCTCCGAATCCTCCCCCTCGTCCGCGCCGACGGCCGCCTCGGTTTGAGCCTTGCGGTCCGGAGGGGGCCTGAGCAGGTTGAGTCTCAGACATCGGGAGGTATGGGAGAAGTAGTGAATGAAATTGGCGGAACCAGTTGAAGAGATCGAAGTTTAGCAGGAGATCTGGGTGACAAAAAGAGCTCTGGCTCCCTGGAGCCTTTGCGACGAAGCGTTGATTGTGACGGAGGAGTAAAGAGAGTAGTCGCTGCTAATGACCAGCTTTCCAGTGCAAGCGGCGGCGGGCAAAAAAGTCGGGTTTGCGGCATGCTTAGTGAGCAAACAAGCATCATCGATGACATCCCCCTCCTTTCCCCCCCTTTCCCTTCCTTCATTCACTGAGACTGACGATCGTTACAAATCGGCTCAGTCCATGGTATGACTCATTTCTAGTCATGATAACTCATCCACAACATTCAAACAAAAACCGAGTCGAGGTTGTGTCTCATATCCCCTCCAAAATGCCCCATGGCCTACTAGTCTTCAATGCGGGGGAGAGGCAACCCAATTGCTTATGCACACTCAGATGGATTTCTGGCATTTTTGACTAATGCCTACGCTGAAAGGCGACAGGCTATATGAGCCCACCATCAGAATCATATATGATATCTAAATAGAATTATCCATCGCGCCTATTTCAAAGGCAGCACCAACTCCCGCTGGAGAGAAACTATCAAATCAACAAAAGGAAATAGGAGGCAAGCATCTCGCCAATGACAATATCAGTAAGTAAAATCAGGAGAAGGGAAAAGAAAAGAGCCAAGGATGAGACACTATGAGAGGGCAATGAGAGAATAAATAAGAAACAAGCAATGTAGCGCCGGGTCTCCTTATGCGGTGCAATGAGTGTAAATAAGATGGTCGTAAGTGCAGCAACATATTCGCCGCAGGCTGCCCTGTCCTGAAGGCTACCGGTCACCGTAGTTCTCGATCAACGGAAACAGGTCATTCGTCGGGGCTATATAAGTTCTGACTCAAAATTTTGGTCATGGTGAACATATGTATACGGTCTTGCTTGAAGACTGCGCGCATTGCGTCGTCGCAGCAGATCTGTCGCCTATCACTAGGGTCTTGAAGATTATGCTCGTGAATGTACTGCCAGAGTCGCTTGACTGTCTGCGGACGAGAAAGCTGTGGTATAGTCAGCAACAAAGCCAGAGAATGAGAAAAACATAACAGACAAGGGGGAAACAGACAGTAACCTCGCCACCCAACAGAGCAGAGAGCGCTGGTGAAAGAGTGAGTGGTTTCTGAGGAAGTGTCAGTAAACGTGTTAGACTTGAAAGAAGAATCTGAAGCTCACATGAAAACCGCCGGACCGGTTGACTTTCTTTCCCGATTCTGAGCCCGACTCAAGGTCAGAGTCATCTTCCGCCTTGACCTTCTTAGACGTCTTCGCCTTGGTCTTCTTCTTCACGGGAGGAGCTCGGCGCGCATTGCCCCCACGGGTTTGACGAGCGCGCATGTTCTCCTCGGCCTGTAGCTTTGCAGCGTACAGGGCGTCCGCATCGATATCGTTGTCCGGCTTCTTCTTCTTTGCTGGGGGCGTCTTGCTCGAAAGGTCCGAGTTATCCTCACTATCCGCTTGGCGTTTGTGAGAAATCGAGGACTGTGCAGGAGACGATGGGTCCGCAGGGGGCGTTTCGGAGCCGTGGCTGGGACCATGGCCATTGGTGGTTGTGACAGCAGTCACAGCCGGCTCGGGTGCAGCTACAATGCCCCCTCTTGCCGCAAAGATGTCGAAACGTTCCATGATAAGCTGCTTGACGGCAGCCTGAATACGAAAACGAGGTTAGCAATATGTTACGCCGACGCTGGAAGTATAAAAAGCAGGGTGTCGCGAGGAGAGTCCAAGTCCGGGGAGCTGACCTTTTGCGGGGTAAGGTCATATCCGATCTCTTCCTGAAGGCCTTTGCGAATGCGCTTCTCGGAGATGGTATTCAGGTCGCTTTTTGCTAAGATCGAATCGATGATCGGAGTAAACTGCACACGGGCCTCTGGTGAGACTGGCGCAAAAATGGGGTGATGTCAGTTGAGAGCGATCTCGGCACTGCTGCGTGGCCCGGGAACATCAGACTCCGAACTTACGCGACATTTTGTTCCAGTGGCTTCGCTATCCGCGTTAATTCCAAAACTAATGTGAACAGAGACTCAGAAAGATGTCAATTGCTAGCCAGAGGCTGGGTGTAGGCTAATAGGGTAGCAAATGGCAGGGTCTAGGGCGCGGGTGGTGGTGCTCTGGGAGGAGGGAGCGTCTAGATCTGGGCGTAGCGCTGGCGCTTAGGACCGGCGGGGCATAAGAGGGAGCACGATAGAGAAATCCCCGGAAGATGCGATGCAAGACGAGGGATTGTGTAATGAACAACGAGAAAAGAGATAATGACTGGAAGATGGCCGGTCCAGGACTACCAACAGCTCTCACCCACACGAGCAAGACGAAGAAGAGGCGTGGGGAGGAGGGGGGGGGAGGAGAAGGGACGATACGTGGGATCGCGATTGTTATGATGTCCAGCCAAGCCGATGTACTGTACAGGTCGGATCGGTTAGAGTGACAATCATCATCAGCCGGTCGAGAAGCTGGGGGACACGGCTTAGTCAATCTAAATCACGTGTACTGCACTAGTAAGTTAGAAGTCCCCGACTTCCCACTCCCCCACTCCACTCCTTCTCCTGTCCCGCCCAGCCACACTTGATCAGGTGATCTGTGGTCACCTGATCTCAGTTACAGCTGACTCAGCTGCTTCGCACACAGAAGCGCTTGCGGTTTGGGATTTGCTCTTTTTGCCCTAAAATCAGCCAAAACGGGGTCGACCAGCAGAAAATCCAGAACAGGATCTTTCCTCCTCCGTATCAACGCTCTCCACCCCGATCCCCTCCCCCCTCTTTATCGCCGTCCGCTGTGAGTGCAAATATGGCGCCCAGTTTCGACACCCTCTCCGAGCAGGACCTCCACGAAGAGGAGGAGGAGGAGATTGACTTCTCCGGTGAGTGCGACCCCGACTCGCGTTCTTTGTCCTGTCCTGTCCTGTCCTGTCCTATCCGTTACCCGTGCCCCTCGTCACTGACCGCGATCGGTTTTTGGTCTTGCAGACCTCAAGGAGCAGTTTGAAGTGAAACTTGATGAGGGTTTGGATACATTCGTTGTCATCGATGGGCTTCCGATCGTGCCCGAGGAGAGCAGGCAGAAGCTCATCAAATTCTTGTTGAGGAAGCTCACCACCGCCGGCAACACCTCCGAAGATGCTGTTTTCATGCCCATCAACGACAAGAATATGTCCGAAGGGTATGTACTGGGATCTCGGGCTGGAACTGCAGCAGGGAGAAATTAACGTTGGGTCGCAGTTTCGCCTTCGTCGAATATGAGACTCCCGAACAAGCCGTCGCTGCCGTGAAGGCCCTGCACGGTGTCCCCCTCGACAAGAAGCACACTCTCGCTGTCAACAAACTGATGGATATTGACCGCTACGGTCGTGAAGGACGTGTCGACGAGGAATACAAGCCCCCCACTATCGAACCCTTTAAGGAGAAGGAGCACCTCCGCTCGTGGCTCGCCGACCCCAACGCTCGTGACCAGTTCGCCCTCTACCGCGGCGACAAGGTCGGCGTCTTCTGGAACAACAAGAACCACCCGCCCGAGAATGTTGTCGATCGTGCCCACTGGACGCAGCTGTTCGTCCAGTGGTCCCCCAAGGGTACCTACCTCGCCTCTGTCCACCCTCAGGGTATTCAACTCTGGGGTGGCCCGGCTTTCTCGAAGCAAAAGCAGTTCCCTCACCCTTTTGTGCAGTTGGTTGAGTTCTCGCCCGGCGAGAACTATCTCACCACCTGGTCCGCGCGCCCCATTCAGGTTGAGGAGGGTCACCCTGTTTTGACCTACGAGGAAGAAGGAAAGAACATCATCATCTGGGATATCGTTACCGGAAAGCCCCTACGTTCGTTCGTTTCCAACGATCTCGCTGCTGGCCCTGGTGCCGAGGGTGATGCCCAGCCCAAGAAGAAGGTTCAGTGGCCCGCTTTCAAGTGGTCTGCTGATGAGAAGTACGTTGCGAGAATGCAGCAATCCCAATCGATCTCTATCTACGAACTTCCCCGGATGAACTTGCTGGGCAAGACCTCCGTCAAGATCGATGGTGTTATGGACTTCGAATGGTCCCCCGCCACCGTTAACCGCGAGGGCGTGAAGCAATACGAACAGCTGCTCTGCTTCTGGACTCCCGAAATCGGCAGCAACCCCGCTCGTGTCGCCCTTATGAGCGTTCCTTCGAAAGAAATCGTTCGTACCCGTAACCTTTTCAACGTCTCCGATGTCAAGCTGCACTGGCAATCACAAGGTACCTACGTCTGTGTGAAGGTGGATCGTCACTCCAAGTCCAAGAAGTCCATGGCCACCAACCTGGAGATTTTCCGCATTCGCGAGAAGGGTGTTCCGGTCGAGGTTGTTGACAGTCTCAAGGATACCGTGATCAACTTCGCCTGGGAGCCGAATGGAGGACGTTTCGTTCTCATCACGAACGGTGAGGCTGCCGGCGGTGCTGGCGCTCCCCCTAAGACGGCAGTTTCCTTCTTCGCTCCCGAGAAGAAGGGTGTTTCGGCCGGTAACTTCAAGCTTGTGCGCACCATTGAGAAGAAGACGAGCAACGCCATCTACTGGTCGCCCAAGGGTCGCTTCGTTGTCGTTGCCACGGTTCACTCTCAATCGAGCTTCGACATAGACTTCTGGGATATGGATTTCGAGGGTGAGAAGCCCGAGGGTGAGAAGGATTTGGCTGCCAACCTTCAGCTGATGAAGACGGTCGAGCACTACGGTGTCACGGACATTGACTGGGATCCCACCGGTCGTTACGTTGTCACCAGTGCTAGTGTGTGGACTCACTCGGTATGTTCATCTTCTAATCTGAATCTCTTCGCACTCGCTGGACACCGTTGCTAATTTGTACCTGTAGATGGAAAACGGCTGGAACATCCACACTTTCGCCGGTCAGACCCTTTCCGAGAACCCGACCGAAAAGTTCAAGCAGTTCGTCTGGCGCCCTCGCCCCCCCACTCTTCTCAGCAAGGAGGAGCAGAAGCAGGTGCGCAAGAACCTGCGCGAATACTCCAAGGAGTTCGACGAGGAGGACAAGTACGCTGTCGACATTGCCAACACCGCGGTGGTGGAGACGCGCAAGCGCGTTCTCAACGAGTGGGTTGCCT